TTTTGTATATCTGACATCAAATTTGTTGAATGTTATCCAATGGCAAGCTTTCTCCAGATTTCAGGTTCTTTAAATGTGACCAGAAGAGAACACAGTTATTCAAGGTTCCCCTATGCAGGCAGATCTCAGAACCATTATGCCGTAGATAACAGTGTACCCTAATGACACCTGGTCAGACATGTGGAAATGATGTATTCCTTAACTGGAGGTGTAATTACAAGGCTGAAAGGCACATGTCCCCTTTTAATGGATGTGTTCTCCCAATCTGATCCAAAATTAAGGAAAACTATTGACTTCCAAGTATAAGGTCTATAAATTTAGGGCACCGAAAAGAAGTTTTTTTTTTTTTTTTTTTTTTTTTTTAAAGAGGACTTAGTTTTTTTGTTAAGGGGTCACCTCTGCGGGTACATGAACTGAAGTAACTGTCTTGATGTGTTTATAGTGCTGTGCTGGGATCACAGGAGAGGAGAGTTTTAAGCATAAAAGAAAGCAAAACAGAACATGCGTACAATCAAATTAGGACCTGATCCCAGTCCCAGGACAGAAAATGAACTTTCCGTCTCTTTCCACTGCTAGTCTAGAAGATTAATTTAGAACTATTTTCTGTCTAGATAACAATCAATGGTCCTTGCAACCTAGTTTTCCTGGTGTGTGGTAGCCTCCAGGATTGACAGGGCTTATTGAGGGATGCTATTGAGTAGACACTTTAAAGGATGTGGCAATTGAGGTCTTCCCCAGGGAGGAGTAACCTGGATTTATTCATAGGGTTTTCCCAAGTGATATCAGCCCCAGTCTTATGTCATTTGAGTTCCTTTCATTGAACTGAGGCAGCAATGAGCCTTAAACCTCTGTCTACCTTTTGTTAGGGGGGCCTCTCGCTGTCAGCTTCTCTTTGGGAAGCCAGAGTGTGAGTGTTGTTTTACCCAAGGAGAGTGATTTCTAGAGCTACAGAAAGCAAAGTCTGGGAAAGGAGACACCTGCTGGAGAAAGGACAGGGACTGTAACCCAAGACTGAAGAAGGAAAGTAGTAGCCAATAAAGGAAGAGGTGACCTCATTCTGCTCTGCTGGGCTGGGACAGCACAAGGTCCTCAGATGTTTCTGAACATGAGTGTTCTCCAGACGCCCTTCTTCCTTAAGAAGCTAGACTCATTCAGTGAACATGGTGAAGGATGCTCTCCTTATATCTCTTATTCAAGCTGTCCTCCAAGCAGGAAAGTTTTCTCTCCATTTTTTTTCTAGATAAATCAGGAACTTGCACCCTTCTTGCATAGGATATTGGTTTTGGATTTACCTCTACTTCTTCCTTGTCTTTCAAGACTTGAATGAAACTTTGCCTACTGTTTATTTTATGTATGAAGAATTTACAGCAACGTGAGCCAGGCTTCAGTATGTCCTTCCAGCTCAATGTCTGTAGTCTGGGAGTAGGAAGAGAGGCGAACAGTTCAGCGACCTAAAGATCAGGCCTGTTTTCATCCTTCAGAGTTCAGATGCATAGTCTGACAAGGTCAATGTACAGCTTGTGACATCAATTTTTATGGCTAGGGAAGCCATAAAAATCATGTGAAAGGGATTCAAACTTCCTTTCAAGCAGGACTGACAATGTTTTCTAATCATTTTCAGGAGGCAGATTACTTTCTGGGAAGTCAGCTGGCATGGGTTCTGTCAAGAGCAAGTTAGTTTTTGCCTCTGATTTGACTAATGAAGAGGGTGGTTTTTCTCTCATATACACAAGAGAGTACAATGGGTACCTGTCCCATTGGGAGGAGCTCAATTTTGGGGGCATGCGACTAGAGGAACGTTTTCTGAATGAACGGGGTCTTGTATGTTATTTGATGTTTTTTGTGTTGTTCTAGAAACATTCATGTGCTAAATTCTTAAGCTGTAATGTTAAAAATTTCCATCTGGAGGTATCAACTGTAGAATCATAACAGTGCAGGCTGATGTCTATGTAATTTTACTTCAACCAGGGAAAGCTGGCAAAAAAGGGAATGAACATTTCACACTGAACATCAGTAAGCAGTTCATCTCGGCCTGCAAAACCAGACAGGATTCTTGGATCTGGGCAGCATAAAAATAGTCCTATATTTTATCCCTTAGTCCCATGCTGAGAATCTCCACCTCTCCACCACCAGAAACAAAGGCAGAATTAGGGTGTTCAGTAGGCCTTGGAGTCTGACAAGTCTGGCTAGGAGAGGTACTCTCTGTTCCTTCTAATTTGGGAATTTTGGGAATGTGACCTAATACTCTCACATATCAGTTTGAGGCCTTAACGAAGTGTCTAAAAAGTCCCCACATAATAATTGGACCACATAATGTGATCAGTGAGTGGTTGTTATCTTCATGTCCCAGTAGAGGCTGACTGATCATTTCTCAGTGATTTTAGAATAGGGAACTTAACTCTATGACCTTCCATATTGCTGATTGTCCAATGCTCTAAATAATGGAGCCCGTACTTGCCTCTATTTTCCGTTCAATGCTTCTGAATCTGAGTATTCCTCCCTGTAAAAAGAAATGGACTTCAGGATAATTGTCTTACAGATGTTTTGTAAGGGCAAAATATAAATTGTAACATTAGAAATGAAAATGTCTATACAGCGTCTTTATGGCTGCTACTGAAGAACTGTAGAAATTGCTTCATTTGTTCACTGTGGAAGGCTCAGTATCAGCCACATACACTGCAAGGAAGAGGTGTCTCCTGGGCCCTAGAAAGTAGCTATGAAGAAGGCCTGCTCTGCCATTAGGCTCCTCCTATGTATGAAACAACTGAAGTGTGCAGGTGATCCTGAGAAGCCTGAGCCGAGTGCTGTCCCTCAGAAGAGAGTACACAGAGAGTAGGGAAACAGACAGAATGCCATGCAGTTAGCACAGTCATTTTAACTGTCAGTGTTTTTCAAACCAGTGCCCTCCAGGACTGCTGATTAAACTCCGTGTCTGTGTCCTGGGACCATCAATGATGCTGCCCTGGCTTCTTGTCCTCTCTACTCTGTGTCTCCTGGCACGTGGTAAGTTTTCTTTCTTCTCCTCAGACTTGCTTTTACTGAATGACACACAATGTTCTTATGTGGACTAAAAAAGAAATGTTCCTAGCATTGTCTTTGCTAAAGCATGTATAGCTTTGCCACTTGTTTAACTGCTATGAAATTGACAGATTCTATCAATGGTCTGACAGCTGTTGTGATCCTCCATCAGTTAATTCATGAGTCTTATTTGATTTCAAGATATAAATAAGACATCAACCACTTCTTAGAATTTTTATTGAGAATTCAATTGGATATTGTATTGATTATATTTCTGTGACAAAATATTTGAGAAAGAGTTTATTTTGGCTTACAGTGTGTGTGTGTGTGTGTGTGTGTGTGTGTGTGTGTGTGTGTATGGATGGATGGATGCATGTATGTATGACGTGATGACAGAAAGACATGGTGGCAGGAACTTAAGGCATTTGGTCACCTTGTTTCCACAGCTGTAATGCAGAAAGCAGTGGATGCTCATGCTCGGCTTCCTTTTATTCAGTCTGGTATCCCAGTTGCCCATATTAAAAGCAGATCCTCATAGTTTAACTCACCTAATCTAGATAATCTCTTGTGGACATGCCTAGAGACTTGTCTCTTCAATGATTCTAAGTCCAGTCAATTTGACTATAAAGGTTTAGCACAGTGTTCAAATGATGAATGTTAAGTAATTTATAGCTCTAACTGCCTCACCATCTCCCCCTCACCACTGCCATCATCATCATAGTTAAGCCCAGCACAGAGTTTACATTCGTAAGTAAATACCAATTTTGTCAATGCAGGACTGCCTTTACAACATCGTGACGTGTTTTCTTGTTTTATAAAGTGATTAGACATGGAGTAAATATATGTGAATTCTGTTGAACTAAATGGATCTGAGCTTGGTGATTCTTAAATACTGGGTGTATTTTCATGTTGTTTGCCACAATTTAGTGATTTCTCTGCAATGTAAGACAGACTTCAGTCTGTCCTGCCAGCTCTGAAGGTCCTGTGGGTTTTATTATCCCATTCCCCTGCCCTGTTGAGGCCTTCATTACACCTACCTTCATTAAACCCACCCTCTAGGATTGCTGAAGTCTTCCCTGGTCCCTAACAATAGCAATATTGTTTACCCTGTGTCATCTGCATACCGACCAGCAGAACCATGAGTACACTTCATAGTGCCACATGCCAAGATGGGTGTCATTATCTGGAACAAACTTAATAGATTTATGAAGGACATACTGGTTCTTCTTATTTATTTATTTATTTATTTACTTATTTATTTATTTATTTATCTATCTATCTATCTATCTATCTATTTATTTATTTATTTATTTATTTATTCTTTTTTTTTATTATTCTCATTAGTTACATTTTGTTAATTCTGTATCCCAGCTGTATTCCTCATTCCCTCCCCAATCCCTCCCTCCCTCATCTCCTCCCTGCCCCTTTCCAAGTCCACTGATAGGGGACGACCTCCTCCCCTTTCATATGACTCCGTTTTGTCAGGTATTTTCAGGACTGGCTGCAAAGTCCTCCTCTGTGGCCTAACAGGACTGCTCCTCTCTTGGGAGGTGGGGAGGTCAAAGAGCCAGTCATTGAGTTCCTGTTAGAAATAGTCCTACTGAGCTATCAGACATACTGGTTCTTGTGACAGAAATGTATGAAGCACTATGTCTATTTTCAGAAACTCCATAGTTTAGACAATTTACTAAGGATCGTTTTCTCTAAACTCATTCCCAGATCCATTCCCAGGTCCTTATTGCTCATGCCCCATTCTTGGAGATACAAACAGGTTCCCAACTTCAGCAGTCTCTCCTGCAACCAAGCAACTTAACAGGGCTGAGTATAGATTTAGGTGATTACTAAGCCCAAACTGGGTTATTGAGACGAGAATGGGTAGTATTGGGTGGAGAAGCTTTCTCCAAGGCTTCCATATGCCATAGTGGAGGAGCTAGTGTCTGGGGTAGGGTCTGTCACATGCTCATCTGTTGTCTCTTTTACAGGCAGTCCTACCATAGTTTCCCGAAAGGAGTGGGGATCAAATTCACTCACTTGCAAAGCCCCGCTGGACCTGCCTGTGCCCTACCTCATCACAGAGCATCTTACCAGGATGGAGTGCAAAGATCAGATTATCTGTAGCCAGATGGTGCGGGTTCTACAGTCTCATTCTGTACATAACAGAGGCTGGTGTGATGTGGCCTTCAAGTAAGAGATGGCCAGGTCTTCAAATCCCTGTATTTCCCATTTTCTGGGCTTCATTTGTGTTGTGTTTATCATGACTGAAGAGTGTTAGGGAAAAAATAACTAAATAATAATAATCCAGTAGTCATTAGGAGGTACAACTCTGAGCCATGTATTCAAGAGTGCTTTTACTCTGGGAGCTCATGAAAGGACACACGGGAGGTTATGTAATTACTGCTGTCACCCCTAGAAGGCCCCAGCATGACAGATCTTCATTGCTATTTCCCAACTAGGAGCAATGAGGAAGGGAAAGTTTACTATCTTTATTACATAAGTGAGAATGCCATAGTCTATGGCAACCAAAGAATTTGCTTAAAGTAGTGCATAGCAAGGGGCATGGGTTCAGAATTGTGTCAAGACTGTGTGTTGATACAACTCACTTCTTCCCTTCCAGGCAAGGGCTCATATCCATGAAGCATTTTCCCATTTGCTAACCTGAATGACCCCTGGATAACACAAGGGGATGAATGGGCATGGGGAATGATGGGAAGAGAGCACATGTTAAAGTGAATGGGAGGCATGGAAGGTTTTTGCACTGTGCAGTATCTACTTTGAGGATTCTGTTGATGACCTCAAGAATGAGAGAGTATCTACTTTGAGAGTTCTTATTAACCTCAAGAATGAGAGACCTCACCATCATATGAAGAAAAAGAGCAGGCTAGGGGATTTAAAAGACAAATAGGAATAATTTCTGAATTATACGTTTTAGAAAGGATATTCTGTGATTTCATATATTTTTAGTTAAACCCAAATATGCAAGACCAGCTGGAGACTGGCTGTACCACCTGAATCTATATTCTGCCAGGGACCTCCAATCAGCCCTTGGTGGAAGTCGTGCGACTTTATTAACTATAGTTTATCAGCAGTCACTGTTCCCTGTCATTCCATGACTGTCACTGAAATGTTGCTTATTTCAATCATGGTGTTTGTAAGTGGTTTTAACTGCTCTGTCTTTAAAAATCAGGTTTCCGTAGTGGCAATGTAAACCTCCTTTCAACAGTGTGGTTACTGCAGCTGTAAGGGAGTGTTGACATTGAACTAATCAGGGGCTCTGCAGAAGTGACAGGGGAACCTGCTGGGAACCCCCAAAAGCAGAGAACTGGTGGGCATGCTTCAGGTGCCGTGTGGTTCTCAGTGTCAGGTGAAAAAGTCTCTCTTCCAGCAGGGTCTTTACAGGACCTTGGAAAGTGTTCTTTCTGTGTTCAGTTTGCTCTGGAATTCACAATCTAGTAAAAGGCTGAATATAGCAAGAGTTATGAAAAACCATTTCAAGATGGATTGGAAAGTAGAGAGCAGCAGAATGGACCAAAAAAAAAAATAAAAGAAGCAAGTAGAATAAAAGAATATAGACATGATTTTAAAAACAGGCAATAAAAATGAAGTAAAACAAATTTCTGTGATTAAGAGCCTGCAGGAATCTGTGTGGGGTCAGTTTAAAGAAACTCTTGTGTTGTCTTTAATTGCTTTAAAGAATATTCAAGTGATTGGTCCTATAATTAAAAACAAAAACAAAAGATAAGGTGGATTGGCCCTTAAAAAGATGGAACTAATTGTCATCAGGTTCTGGAGAGTCACACATTCAAATTCCACTTTGAATTAAGTGAGTATTTTTTTTTTTTTTAAGTGAGAGTCTGGAAAATAAATGTAATCTAAATCAAAACCAAAATTAAAATATCTTTCTACTTCTTTAGGAGGTCTAAAATTGTCCCCATTACTAAGTTATTGAAACCTCACTTTTTTAGGAGCCTCTAGGATTACTTTGGTAAAGTGAATTTTCTTGATATGAAGGATTACCACTAACTCTATATTTTTGTTTGGCAGCTTCCTGGTTGGGGAGGATGGCAAGGTGTATGAAGGAGTTGGTTGGCATGTCCAAGGCTTGCATGCTCGAGGCTACAATAATGTTTCTCTGAGCATTGCCTTCTTCGGCAGTAAGGTAATAATAGTTTCCTCCAGACACAAAGTGTTCTCCACCTCCCCACCGCCTTCTTTTCTCAATGCTAATATCTTTTTAGCCTACATTGCATTTGCCATCCCTGATAATCACTGTTTCTGGAAATCCTTTCTGCTGTTGCACTCTATGAGCTGTAGTTTTCCCCTCTTTCATGCTCTTTCCTAGTTTATATCTTGCTGCAACTGCCATGGACATGGAGTTCATAGTTACGGCCAATGGAATCTGAAGTCATCTGCCACTGGTGTTTTCATTGCCAGAGGCAGATAGCATGGATTATTTTTTCTTTCAGTATTGTTTGTTGGTAGAGACAAAAAGAGGCCAGTAGGCAAGGCAAGGGAGTTGAAGTAGTTAATGACCTCCTCCACACATACCAGAGCAGAGCAGAGGGCCAAGATGGTGCTGAAGGCCAATAGGTCAATAAGAGATATCAACCAGGACACACCATTCTTTACTGGGGATTTTATTTTATTATTATTTTTTTTGAATTTTATTTTTTTCTTATCAGTTACATTTCATTAACTCTGTATCCCAGCCATGTCCCAATCCCTCATTCCCTCCCAGTCCCTCCCTACCTCCCTCATCTCCACCATGCCCCTATCCAAGTCCACTGATGGGGGGAACCTCCTCCCCATTCATCTGATCCTGTTTTATCAGGTATCTTCAGGACTGGCTGCAAAGCTCTCCTCTGTGGCCTAACAGGACTGCTCCTCCCTTTACTGGGGATTTTAATAGGGAGGTTCAGCAAGAACCACAGGAGGACAAATATAAAAGAGTTTACGGCATGCCTGATCCTGGCAGTTGCTCAGTAAATACTGTCATCCTTTCTCACAAGTTTGGTTACACTTGACTTACTCAAGCAAGTTTCTCCCCAAGTATCTTTCATCAGGTTCTTACCTCCTTTCTCAACACAGAGTAAATAGTCTGAGTTCGGCCCTCAGAAGAGGTTCCTAATTGTGACTGCTTAGAGTTCTGACCAAATAGTTTGTATCTCTCAGGCGTTCTGCTTGTCTTTTCCTGTCTACTGATCACTCAGGTCAGGTGGTGTCTCACACTCTTCGCTGCTGCGGCGGCCAGGCTGAACTTTCTTAATAACAGTTTTTATTTCATATTGCTCTCCGGAAGGCATCAGCCCCAGCCCTGCTGCTTTACCCGCTACAGGGGACCTGATCTTCTTTGCCATCCAGCATAGTTACCTGTCACCCAGGTACATCCATCCATTTCTCTTAAAGGAAGAAACCTGCTTTGTTCCTCAACATTCAGAGATACCCAAAAAAGGTAAAACCCTCAGCTCAGTACACCAATCTTTGCATTGCTCTCCAGCCACATTTGGAAATATTTTCCTTTTAGGCTGTCAAGGGTTACTTGGACTGAGAAAATCTCACATATGCCAGAACTATGAAGTTGGAAAAGTTTTTTTTTTTAATCACTGGAGATTTAGTCAGGGATTGAGCATGCTAGATAAGTCCTCTACTGAACAACATCCCTATTAATTAACGGAGTTGGGAGACATGATTTCCCTGGCCTTTCCATCTCACCAGAATGTTATTATCAGGACGCATTCTTGCCTCAAATAAATGTATACTCATATTTTTACTGAGTCTACAAAAAGCATGCAGTCTTCAGATTTTCATACATCTGTGAAAAAAAAAATACAAAACTCCCACCATCAAGGATTGTATACTTCAGTGAGCAAAGTCAGAACATGAGCAAGCAACAAATGAAATGTGTTAGCCAGCATGGCTGGGAGAGAGGGAAGTAAGACGTGGAAACTGAGTAGACATATTTACATACTGTGGGAACACACACACACACACACACACACACACACACACACACACACACTTTTCCAAAGTGAGCCAACCTTTTCCATGGCCGTGGTACTGAGAAAATTGGAACTTACAGGTAATGTTGGTATTAGAATGGTTATTCTACGAAACCGAAAAATGAAAATGGTGTGCTGGTTTGAAAAGAGTGGTCAGCCAATTAAAACCAACAAAATTAGTAAGCACCTCCAGTAGCCTAGCTGTCTGCTAACACATCCTTTTTCTTAATTCCTTGATATTTAAGATTTTGTTTTTTACAATTAGAAATCCCTAAATGACCATTTTATTGCTTTTGGGCTGGTACTATACTAAAAAAAAAAATGATAATTCTGTAACATTGTGAGTTCTTTGTAGACTCCATATTATTTCCACATACAGTTGACTGGCTTAAAGAGTGAGCTCGCTTGCGCACACCCACTTTATATGGCACACACATGTGTGTGTAGGCATCCTGTGTTTGATTTTGTTATTTTATATTAGATTATTTACTTTATAGCCAGACGGTGCCCCTCCCCCCTCTCCTCCCAATTCCCTCACTTCACTCTCCTTCCCCTTCCCCCTAGAAAAGGAGGGCCCCCCCCCCCCCCCCCCACATTAACCTTCCCTAGCACATCAAGTCACGTCAGGACTGAGCATATCTTCATCCCCTGAGCCAGGCAAGGTAGTGCTGCCAGGGGGAAGTGATCCAAAAGTAGGCAACAGAGTTCATGTTAGAATCAGCTCACCCTCCGCCACTCGCCAGGTGCCCCATATGAAGACCAAGCTGCCCGTATGTGCAGGGGGCCTCCTCGGTCCAGATCATGCATGCCCCTTAGTTAATGTCTCAGTCTCTGGAAGCCCCCATGAGACTGGGTAAGTTGTCTCTATTGGTCTTCTTGTGAGGTTCCTGTCCCCTCCAGGTCTTTTCCCCAACACGCAGGACCCCCAGAGTTCTGTCCCATGCTTGGCTGCGAGTCCCAGCATCTGTCTCAGTCCACTACTGGGTGGAGTTAGGCTCCTGTCTGAAAGCATAGCACAGTATCATTTTCAGTCAGAGGCTGGCTCTGGAACATGGGTTAGGTCTTAGTTTGGGCCAATTATTGGTCAGGCTTTCTGTCAATCTTTGTTCCCTCATCCCTGAACTTCTTGTAGGTAGGGTAAGTTTTGGATCACAGGTTTTGTTGTTGAGTTGTTGTTCCCTTCCTTCCACTAGTCCTGCCTGGCTAGGAGGTGGTCACTTCAATTTTCATGTCTCCCCCTGCTAGGAGGCTCAGCTAGAGTCACACCCATGTCCTCCCAGGAGCCTGCCCCGTCCCAGGCCTCCAGCTTGACAAAGAGATGGCCACCCCAGTGTCCCTTCTTGTCCCAGCCCTCCCCCCTCCCACCTCCGTTCTGATTCCCACCTTTGTTTCCCTCCCTATTCCATCTCTTTCCCAGTTTCCTCTCTTCATCCACTTCTGCTGCGTGTTCTCTTTCTGAGTGACATTCTGACACCTTCTTTTGGGCCCTACTTTGGTTCCGTGGATTGTAGTATGTTTATCCTGTGCAATAGGTCTAATATCCACTTATAAGTGAGTCATACCACGTGATGTATGTCTTTCTGGGTCTGGGTTACTTCTCTTAGGATGATCTTTTCCAGTTCCATACATTTGCCTGCAAATTTCATTTCTTTGTTTCTAAATAGCTGATCAGTATTCCATTGTGTAAAGGTACCACAATTTCTGTATCAGTATCCTGTGTTTTGAATACAATTGTGCCTCTCTCTGACTAGTCTGTTCCTTTCTACTTTCATATTGGTTCTTATATTGCTCCAATGCCCTGATCCATATACCTGTCTTTTCGAGACTTCTACTGCCAAGTTCACATTAGACTGTGTCTATTTTTGTCGGACACTGCTGAGAGACTGCTGGAAACTGGTCTCTGGCTGTATGTTGCTTTTATGAGAGCTTAAAGCAAATTCTCATCCTTTTGGTTTTTCACTTTGCTGTAGCATGCCCCGATATCATCCCTCGATCTGCTTGGGAAGCCAGAGAGACACACTGTCCTCAAATGAACCTTCCAGCCAAATTTGTCATCATCATCCACACTGCTGGGACAAGCTGCAACAAGTCTGCCGACTGCTTAATTCGTGTCAGGGACACACAGTCCTTTCACATGGACAAACAAGATTTCTGTGACATCGCATATCAGTAAGTGAGAAACGACCCCTTTTCTTCAGAGCAGTGGAGACCAAGGCTGGGGGAGTCTTGGTGCCATACTTTATTCTTGCAAGAATCTGGACTGAGCATCACTCAGGATACAGCTTGACAACTTGACCTCTCAGGCATGTTCTCCAGCATGATTGGAAGACTAAAATTAGTGCATAAGAGGCAGTGAGGATGGAAAACTCTGAACCCTCAAGGAAGGCCAGAGTAGGGGTCTGCCTTCTGAGGCACTCTGTCCTAAAGAATAAGGGGCAAAGCTCTTGGCCAGCTCCATCTTCTTCTCTTTGATGTTAGACTCTTCTTTGATGTCAGTTACTCTTCTGTTACTCACCACACAGGAATTTCAACCCCTCTAGGCTCTTTTCTCTCATCTCTACTGTAAGGACAATATTTTCTGCTTGAAGACAGGGCATGAGATTCAATATTCTCTTCTGGCTCCTTTCATGAGAGTATTATATTAAAAAAACATATTAGTCTAATGAAATAGCAGAAACTATTTGGTGGATTCCTTATACTTTTCATAGGTGGAACTTAGGGTTAGAAAGCAATAAACTTTAGTTGTTTATTGGTACTTAATGCATTTTGTGACTGTCTTGGATGAGTTTGCCTCTACAGTGTGCTCTAGCTGCAGCTGTCCTCTTCGTGTGTCTGAGTGGAACCTGCTTCACTTTTCAGGACTTTTTATAATCTTGCTATAGTCATTGCAGATAATAAGGAGTGACTGCAAATGTAGAAATTACAAATTGGCAAACACCAGCAGAGTTGATTCTTGTTCCTCAACTTTCAAACCTGTGCTGGAATGTCTGCCCACCTCTGTGCCTGGTGTGCTGTTGCCAGCACTGATATGGTTGTAACTGGGGAAAGCACCCACTCATGTCCCATTTTCTAACTCCGTAACACACATTTATTGGGTGTCTATTCTGCCTAGTGCTAGGCAAGATTGATATGGTTCCTTTCTTTGCGGAGTTGAAAGATTCAATAAACAAGTGATTACAGTGCAAAATGCTAAGCACAGTGTTGGAAGATCAGAGCACAGATAAGATGAGCCTAGAATACTTTGGAAGAATGACAGATGTCAGAGAAAGGCCAATGAAGAACACCATTCTTACTAGGATATGAATAAGGCATGAGGGTTCTTGGCAAAGAGGGCGTGATCTAGTTAAAGAACACATTCAGAAGCTTGGGATACAGACAAAGCATGTGTCTTTGAGGAAACAAGACATTTCCCACTCAACCCTGAAAATGGATTTACAAGAGAAGGGTAGAAGCTTCAGGAGCCTGACCGCTGAGGAGATCTTGTAAGTAATGAGCAATGACTTTGTGTGAAGGGGAACTAAGGACTGTAAAAAGCCACACCCTTTTAAAAGCAAAAATGAAAATGTATTTATAGATTCATTTATTCATTCATCTATCTATCTATCTATCTATCTATCTATCTATCTATCTATCTATCTATCTATCTATCTATCTAATTTATCTTGTGAGTGTTTTGCCTGCTCGTGTGTATGCCCACCACAGGCATGCTCAGAAGAGGGTGTTGGATGCCCTGTAACTGGAGTTACAGATGGATGTAAGCTGCTATGTGGGTGCTGGAATGCAAACCCATGTCCAGTGCAAGAGCATCAAGCGCTCTCAGCTGTGAAGCCATCTCTCCGTGCCCCCTGGTTATGATTTTAAGAGTGAATTGGGAAAAGGCTAAACTCTGGGCAGGTTGCTGTTATAGTATCCCAAGCTGGAGTTGCACAATGGCAGTTGGATGGGAGTAGTGAGAGAATTTAACAGCTATGCAGAAGACACAATTGATGAGTCATGGGTTGAACTGGGCTCTGAGAGGGAAAATGAAGGATTTAAGATGATGCTTCATTTTCTTGGTGCAGAAAATGTAAAAGGTGACTGTATTTTATTTTTTACATGTTGGATTTTATAGATAATAGTTGAAGCTGTGGGGGTGGATGATTGCTTAATATGGCTGAATGTATTCAGAGGGAAGAGAGAACAGGCAGACAAGGGTGCTAAGGAGGAAGCATAGGATTCTGAGAAACACAATAATTAAGGGAAGGTAGGTGAGATGGAAATGACCTGAGAAAGAGAGCCGCAAATGATAACATTGTCTATAGAAGCCTAGGGGGGAGAAAGCTGTAGGACCAGAATGGTCAGTGGTCAAAATGTCCATTGCTCACAGTCAAGGAGGTCCAGTCATCTTGGCTAAATCAGATTCAATACTGGGGATGAACGCAAAATGCAAAGCTTTGCTTTTGCTTTCTGCACATTGGCACTTATGGGACATTCATACAGCATGTGGTACATGGATGAAAGACTAGATTAATGATTAAGGAAGTGACTGAAGCAAACTGTGTTTCTCAGACTGCCTTCTTTGTTTTTCTTTACCCAATCCTAGCTTTCTAGTGGGCCAGGATGGTGGAGTATATGAAGGAGTTGGCTGGCATATCGAAGGCTCTCACCCCTACGGATACAATGACATTGCTTTAGGAACTGCCTTCATGGGAAACTTTGTAGGTAAGGCATAAGTGGGGCAGAGAGTTCTGCCTAATAACGTGTCATGTGGAATACTCAGGGAACACAGAGCAAATGGAGAGAGTATTGTGGCACTGAAAGCATACTGTAGCATCAGCAGAATAGTTTATATTTAAAGAAAATGCTCAGTAAAGAATGACTGCTACTAGGTGCATCTTCCAAACAGAGTATTTGTCCCCAATTCTTCTACATCCATCCAAAAGTCCATTTCATTTTATGTCCAAACCCAAGACAAGCATGGGGCAAAGGAGAAAAAGAAAGCCTTTTGAAAACTTTGGTACCTTTATGTCTCATTTGGTAAATGTGTCCTCTTTCTTGGTAACCATGGCAGTAATGTTGGGATGTAGCCTTGCCTGTGATGGCATAGCAGATGATAATCCAGTGCGCTGTATCTGTTCTGCACACACTGAGAAACTGTATCGTGTTCTAATCTAGGGCTGTTTTTAATTTTCTAAAGATATTTTGGCCAGATAGAATAAGGAAACACAGTAGTTTTGTCTTTTCTTTCTTTCTTTCTTTCTTTCTTTCTTTCTTTCTTTCTTTCTTT